TTGAGTTATTTATAAAAACAATAAAGGCAGGATACAAAAAAAATCTAAAAATCTAAAATGTTATTTGCACTTCTCCTTTGCTCTTCCCCAGTAGCTCACTGGATACACTTTGACCAAGAATGGCTCCTCTTCCACCATCAGGTTAACATTGTCTTGGTTGTGAATGCCCATTTGCTTTTTTTAGTAAAATACTGGAGTGGATGACCACTTTCTCCAGTGGATCATATTTAGTCTAACCCTGCTTCCGTGACCTCCTCATTATGGGTGACCTTTCTGGGAGTTTACAGTCCTGACAGCTCATAGTGTAATTGGAATGTTCATGCACCACTACCACGACAAGGTACTAATCCATGAGTAGACATGAAAAAGGTTGACTTCTGAAAAATGTTTGGGACGACCAAAATACGTCTCTACAGACATGGTTGAGGCACTGAGACAGTCTTTTCAGTCTATGATCTTAAAAGATGATGGTAAATATCGTATGCTCATAAAAATATAAAGAAACCATACAAGAATCTGAATTAAATGTTAAGACAACCAGAGTTGGCAAGAAAAAGGATATTTCTTCAACTGTGAAATGATCAGCTGCAGCTACATTTGTGATATTCATAAGTTGGAAGGAGGAGTGTGTGTGTGTATGTGTGTGCATTGTACTCCCTGTAAAATATTACTAAAGGAAATACTTTGAACGACATCAAAACGGTATGAAGCAGGACAAAATACAGTGATCTTTCAATTATAGATTTATATTAATAGGCATATTTAATACAGAAACCTTTAAAATGGTATAGTTTCCTATCATCAAATTTATACAATATATTAACAACAAAATCAGGGTGATCTGAATTTTTAAAAAATGTGCTTAGGAAATATACATTAACAATTGCACAACCTGGGAGAGGATGAATGGAAGTCTCCATTTGTTCCAAATTATTTGGATATAAAATCCATTTTTTTTCAGACGGAGATCTGATTCTATTTAGAACTCCAGAACGAACAGAGTTAAATGTTCTGTGGTCCTTATCACCACCTGCCAGCATCCAAAACTGGATTGTGTTCCCTGCACCTACTATTTTCCCTTTCTCTCTTCCTTCTCCATGTAACACAACTGCTATTTATACAATAGCAACATAAATAAATAGTGTCACACTTCTGTACTCCGCAGAATGGTGTGGAGCACAGCAGTGAACCACCTACAATACTGGTCAAGAGATCTAGCTTTGATTTCTGAGAAACTAAAGGTCAGTATGATAACTGCTTCCACAAGATCTGAGAGATACAATATTTATCTTGTTGACACCAGTGGGAGTTTTGCTGATGGTTGCTATGGATGCAGGATTTCTTACCCTGGATATCATGTTTTATTTATTACATAGCAATGAAAATAACACTACATAATTTTGTTTTGCATAAATCTGTATGTCCCTCTGCTTTGGGAAGAATGTGTATACAATGTTGATTATTTAGAAAAATGCAAATGTGTGAAAGCGATTCTCTGGAATAGATATCCTTAAAGCATTTTACATCCATGCTTGTTGTGCATTGATTTTATGTTCCACCTACCCTGGAGATGGAAGAAATTGTAAGATGGATAAGATGGGCATGGCCACTTTGCATATGTGCTTACAACTCTGTAAGTCACAGATCTTAATATATGTAAAACTTGCTTCTTGTCAAACCATTCCAACTGTGAAGCCCGCATATCCAATTGCACAGTACAAGTAATAAAGTGCTACTAGACAGAACTGCTGTCTTACTATATTCGAGTTTCACCATTCTTCAGAGCAACAGGACAAGAGTTAAAATTATCCAGCTAGCGTAGCAACTGGACCTTTGAAAGGAAGAAAGGCCCAGTCAGAATTTGTTTCTGCTTTTGCCTTCGGCTTCTTTATTCGCACGAGAAGTGGTTTTGCTCAGTCTAAAAAATTGATCCTTCTGGCTTCACTTTCAATGATAAGATGACTCAGGAATGCCTTCCAGGTGGTGATGTATTCCAAATATGGTGGACGAGTATATGAGATGGAGAAGGAAAACAATAAGCCAGACCGATAACGCTATTGCAGACAATTTTTAGGGCCACAAAGAAAGCCAACTACGGCTGCATTAAAAGTGCCACAGCCCAGTCCAGGTGTCATCCATGATATTCTATTCATTTAAAGGAAGGAAGTAATCATCTCTTTGATAAAAACATAACAGAAGAAACTTCTATTTGAATGTCCATCAAAACTAAATTAATAAATATATATTTTATATATACACCTAAATTGGGTTTTTTTCCAATTTTGCTTTTATGATGTTTGTTTTTCTTCCTACCATTCTTTATCTCTTTGATGTTTTGCTGATAAAACCACTTGAATAGATTAAAAAGCAACATTTTTTCCTTCATAGCCTGAGATAACTATCTGTATCTGTACATTTGCCTTCAGTTCCATTTCATCCTAGGAGCTGCTATGACTTACTGATGATTGCATGCTACATTTGAAGACATGATGTAATGAAAACCGGTAAAGGTGACCAGTGAGACACCACAGTCAATCATATTTTATTGGAATGCAGGCCAATCAAGCTGGTTTGGGTGAAGAAGAAGGCCCATAGCTCAATGGTCAGGCACATGATTAGCATGCTGAAGATCCCAGGCTCAATACCTGGCATTTCCAATAGGAGTATCAAAATCTTGATATAGTAGTTTTTTCTGTATTCCTAAAACTGATACTCAAAGGAATGGTACAAATGAGCATCTAAGAATAGCAAAACATAATAAACAATGTAGATGTTTGAAATGTGCATGCTTCCTACTTATCTGATTAGTTCCACCAAATTCTCTGCTTTCAGAAGCAATAATAAATTGAAAAATATTCAGTGGAGCCTTTGTAGATACTGAAAACAAATATTCTGTGTACAATCTACATCTTTGTACATGTTTTCAGCCTTCTTCCCAAGCACACTGTCATTTCTCAGTGCAAGATTCCATGATTTTATTTCCTGCTTCCTTGTCTTGCAGGTATCTTATGTAAAAGCTATTGACATCTGGATGGCTGTATGTCTTCTCTTTGTCTTTGCTGCATTGCTTGAATATGCAGCAGTGAATTTTGTGTCAAGGCAGCACAAAGAATTTTTGAGGCTTCGAAGAAGGCAAAGGAGGCAACACAAGGTACCATATCCTATCTTCAGCATAATTATGATTGTTCATATATTCAGTGAAGGGAATTGAGAATTTAAAACAAATTCATTTGCTGCCTATGGTCTTTGTATCTGGCATTATACAAATGAGGACAAGCACGCCCACATTCAGTCAATATTTAGACTGAATGGTCTTTGTGTTCAAACATATGACATTTATACAATTTCAAACTAGCTTTGAATATTAGTTTCCTATTTAATGTAAATGGCTTTTCAGCACTCGTCCTCACCTGATACTTTTGACCATTATTCTGATAATGATGAAAAGGCTTAGATTCTGCTTTAGTTGCCATGGAATCGGTCACAGTGTACACTGTTTCAGCTAAGGTGTCTTTATGTAAAGGAATGGAAGGGTTACTAACAATAATCTATTTATTCAGAGTTGGTTTTGTCTTGACTTTCCTTTGATATTTACCATGCCATCATAAACTGTACTATTTCAGCTATCCATTTATTATTTCATTTGACTTTTCATAGTTAGTTCCAACTGATTTCCCTCTGAATTGCTTCCTGTGGTTCATTCTGATGTCCTTCACTAACAATGCCATTCTTTTTTGTTTGTTATTTTACCTTGTTCCATATATCATTGCATCATTTCCATTTTTATTTTATTTTTTTTGCTACTTGCTGATCAACAAATTTGAGTACAGGCATAGGCTGGGACTTTTGGAAATGAGGACATCAGTCCATTGAGTGAATGGCTTGAGGATAAAAGCACCATCAACATATGGGACAATGAATCAGAACACCAGTCCAAATTTCAGAGTAATTTGAGAGATGGACAAGAAAGGAAGAAGCTAATGTGTGCATAATGTCATAAATTGGCAATCATCAGTATTCATGGCATCATTTATACTCCAGTTCTTTGATTAGACAAAATGCTCTTCTAAGCCTCATGAACTTTGTGCATATTTCTTCTTGTGTCCTGGATTTCTCCTAAGTTTCCAATTCAATGGCAACAATGCTGTCTCATTCCGTTTGGACTGATATTGACTTCAGTAAATTTTAATTCAGTTTTACAATGCACAGATATTGAGAACATTGTGCAATATTTAGTTTGGTGGCATCAAGTCAGGCTCAATTCCTGGTGGCTACATGGACACTCACCATGTCAGTGTATCTCTAGGAGTAGCTTGTAGCTCTTTCAGTCACAGTCCTGTCATATAGTATCTTTGATTTCATTGTTTTCTTTTTTTTCCACTTGCCAAGTTTGTGTTTTTGTTTTTGCTCTATCATCTGCTCATAGCACATGTCCAAAATATTTGAATTCATCGCCTCAACAGAAGTTGGTCTTTGACTGACAGGCTGAATGAATCATTTTTCTTGCCATCCATGGTATTAACTGCCTCCAAATTAGTAATTTCTAGGTGGTTATCTTCTTTCTGTCACTCTCTCTCAATATTCAGCTTTCAGAGCTATACATTATCACTGAAAATACCATTGTTTCACAGAATACCATTGTATTCTAACCTTCATTGCATAAAAATATGCTTACCTTGATGATCTTGTAGTTGCTTTGCTCCCTAGGATTAATCTCTTCTTTAATTCTCCATCATATTGTCTATTTTAAGTAGTTGTAAGCCCAAGAAAACTACTACCTTCATTTCTTCGCTTTCAGGTGTAACTTTACTAAATATAATTGCAGACATGTCAATGAACATACTTAGCAGTGCAAGAGAAACCATGGTATTACTGCCATGCTGGGATCACAATTAAAATCTCCCTTCCAGCTGCTATTGCCCTTGGGAATGACTTATTTGCATCAGAGAAATTTCATTCCAGTATTAATACCAACTCTGGAAGGTATTATTTATTCATCATCATCATCATCATCATCATCATCATCATCATCATCATCATCGGCAGTTTTATATACTGCCTACTGAGGGTGGTTGGAATAGGGTATGATTTTCTTGGAAAATATTTACTCCACAGACAACATGATCTTAATTCTCATATTCAGTGTCACTTAATGTAGTTTGGTCTTCAGAAAGTAAGGAAAGTGGATTGAATTGCTAGAATTTTATGATTTCTGTTACCTATCTTGGTCCAAGAAGTTGCTGAGTCAGATAAAAATCCCACATTCCTTAACAGTTAACCAAATACTTTTAGGAATCTCTCCAGGAGAGCTTGAAGACAATATGTATCTTAGCCAAATGTTTTTCAAAGGCCACTCCCTCTAAACATAAAGATTTCATGAAATGACAAATAGCCTTTAATGTTTTGTCTTCTGTGACTTACTCATCTTTTAAAGCTATCTGTGCTCATAGCCACTGTTACATCTTATGGCTGATAATGTCATAAACTGATGATGTGGAATACTAAGAAGCTTTTCCTTTTGTGAATCCTGGATGTTCTTTATTAGAGCACTTCCACTTGCTTGCTCCTTTCTGAATTTTTTTCAGAGCTTTATAGGATAGAACAACCTCCACTGTGGCTGACACATCTAGTATATTTAGTGTCAGATATATGATAAAACACCCACACTTTTAAATAGCATCATTCACACTGAAACTATTTATTTTCCAATTATGGAGAAGGAATCTGTAAAGAAAAAAAAAAAGGTTTCATTGCTGAATTTTGGATTGGAAGGTAACTTTTGAAATGGATCAAAATGCAGTATCAAATCCCATAGTTTGTGCATAAAAGATGCTGGGATTCGTTCCTAGCAGCTCCAGCTTGGGTTGTTTTTTCAGTTGATAGATAGCAGGTGATCTTAAAACTTCTGCCTTGGAGCCCAGAGAGCTATGGCAGTCTTGTTAGATGTCGGCAGGCTAGATAAAATGAAAAAAGTCTGACTTGATGGTTCTGGAACAGCTTTTTCCAGGGTGATGCCCTCCAATTGTATTGGACATTGATTTCCATGGCTTCGTGCCAGCATGGCTAAGGCATTTGAGAATTGAAATTCATCATACCTGCAGCACACAGGTTGGCTGGCTACTCCAGAAAGAGCTGGATCCAAAGATGACTGGAAGTCAAGATCCTATTTTTATTCAATCCATTCATCTCAGATGTGTATCTTTTTGTTTACTCAGTGGAGATAGGAAAGCATCTTAGACTATAATCTAACACATGGTTTGGTACCACATCCAAAATTTGGGTTTATCTATGTATGGAATTTATATTTCAGTTTAATGAGATGCTTAAATCAGAATGGAGTCTTAATAATATGTACTCAACTAATTACAACTTATAATTTGTAATTTTAAAGGGATTCTTTAGAATTATTTACATTTTGTATTGTGAGGAAAGCATCAGGCTTGTGATCAAAACATAAAACACAGTGTGCGATGCAAACATCTTTTTATTGTTTCCCCTGAATAATTTAACAAGCTGTTGTCACATGTGGCAAGTCAAGCAGGATGCCATTTATCTCCCAAAAGACAGAGCACCATCACAACACTGAGAGCCAACCTTTCACATTAGACCTGACAATGTTTATTCTGACGTTAGCACTTGTGTTGCCCAAAAATCCAGACTGGTGGCATCAAAGCAACAACAGCAGAGGGGAAAGGATTCATTGTTGTTATAAAATCATGTTCTGACTACACCCACACGAATGAAGAGCCAGCATTCTAGAAGTCAAATGTCAATTCTTCTCTGTGTTACAGAGATGACTTGTGACTTGCTGATCTATTGGTAGACCAATATAAAACAAAACGTTACATGTCCTGGACACCAAACCAAAGAAATGGAATATTCCTGGGCACATCATTGGTCTGCGCAATATAGAAAATCAGGGGAATACATCCATTACAACAATGGAAAAGAATGAGCCTATGACATCTAAAAACAAGAGAAAAATAAAGTCTCAGCAAGTTTCTTGTGTGTCAGGGTAGTTATCACACCAGTCAGTAACTATGACAAACCATTGTGGTAACTTATCTATTAGGTTAACACAGCTTTCAGGTGGCCAGGCAACAAATCCAGGCATGTATCACTCCTGCTGCATGGAATATTTCTCTTCAGGAAATATTTTTGGACCAGCAATTGCCCATTGTGTTCTAATGCACAATCATAAGGCACAAGCATCTTTTATCTTCCATGCTGACTTTTCCACATATTTATGAGTATTGCTGCAGCAAAGCTGGGTCAAACTTTTGGTTGGAAACTGTTGAGGGGCTGTTCCTGCTACTGCTTCATGCTTGAACTTACAAATTGTTAATTTGCCAATGTTCAGTCAGTTCACTGAGTTCTTAGAACAGTATTGACTCTTTTCTCCTTTTCCTCTCTTCACTCCCCAGCCCCAGAGCAACAAGAGCATATATGTGATGCAGGGCCAAATCCATCTTTCTGTTTTCCAAAGTTCTTCCTCTTCTCCAAAAAAGTATGCATGTGTGTGTATGTGTGCATGTATGTATGTATGTGTATGTATGTATATGTATTTATGTGTATATCTACCTACCTACCTACCTACCTACGGTTACTTGACTATTGCAGACAGCAATGCTGATTTGGGGTTTGTTTTATTTTAGTTACTACTACTGAGCTATTCTTAGCACATGGAAGTTTGTCCTAACATTCAACTGGAATCTGGATACTTCCTGTATTTAACATTATTCCATGTCCTGCTCCCTGCGTAATACAGAACAGTGATTGGTGTTGTTTTATGAGATATCTCTTTTATGTACTTGAAAGTGCTATCATGACTCCCCTGAGCTGCATGCTCTGAAAGTAAAACAAACCAGTCTTTCTCATTAGATTTAGTTCCTAGTTCTTCCATCTTTCACAATAGTTTTTCAACACCAGTTGCTGAAGTGTGGTGCTCAGGGGTACAATGCTGAGGAGGAGTAAAAAAGTCAAAATAGCGGTCATGCCTTCTGGATTGAAGCTCCGCATCTTTGCTTGTGTACATGATAATTTACAAAAGAAGTGGGGCTTTGATCGCACACTTGTGATTGCCATCTTGACTTTTATTGACCCCACCTGTGGACGCACATGGGTGCCACCTAAAGTTACCTTTGCCTGTTT